GGTGGAGCAAGGTCGGGGTTGGGGGGTGGGGGACCGCAGGGCTCGGGCCGGGAGCTTCGGTACGGCCGGGCTGCGGCCGGCGGGCTCTGTTGGTTTCGGGACGGGGGACGCGCGCCGACGCGCTCGAAGATCCCGGGCACTGGAATAGTGGACACGCTGGGTGTGGTGCCGCCCAGGATTGCGGATGGCCTGGGCACCAAGAGTAACCACGTGCTCGGCCGGTGGTCTTGAGACGGGAAGAGCACGCGGAAAGTTTGGAGGTTTGCAGGGAGGGTGATGCAGGCCTTGGCCCCGCTCGGCTGGCTGTCTGGGAGCGCCACGTGGGCTGTCCTCCCGGGCGGCCGGGCGGGCCTAGGAGACCGGCTTTACAGCAGCAAAACCTGAAGTGCGGGCGGGAGAGCTGCGTCTTTCTCTCCCCACCGTAACTTTAAAATGACAGCCTACCCTCCCTTTCTTTCATTTGTCACCGAATATTTCTAGAACGGCTGCTCGACTGTTGGGTCGTCCATCAGGTTAATGAGACTAGGTTGTTCACTGTGTTTTCAGGAAGTATTGGCCTGGGAGTTGCAGGCTCTGATTACTCCAGTAATCAGCTGTAAATTCGGCGCCGGGCCTTTGATTTCACTGGGCTCATCTTTAAGTGGAAAAGCCTGATTTATCCACCTTCTAACACCATCGCTTGGATAGTTTTGCCTCTCTGCCCTCATCCTTTGTAACCTCAGGGTTACTAAAATACATTAATGAGGTTCAGTACATTATTTCTAAAATGGAATTAAAAAGATAAGTGCCAATCACAGCTTTAGGTCAACAGGAGAACCCCTTTTCCCTCTCTGAACTGATAAACATCAATGAGGGCCCAAAGGAAATGTTTTAAGTCAGCCTAGGCAACCTTGTTACAGGCAATATATCATTTCTGTCAGTTTGTGTGCGTTTAACTGAGGTGAGTTTGCCTATGATCCTCCTCTATGTTAGTGGATCTAAAATTCTGCTGAGAACTGTTAATTTTCTTTTTTAACTTTTTTTAAACTGTGTTACTGCAGATTTCTGGGCTCAGCCACCAGAAGTGTTAGTCCAGTAGGTTTGATATGGGGCCCATAAATTTGCATACTAACAAGCTTTCCTGGTGATTTGACTACACTTTGTAAAACACAGCTCTGGAGCTTATAAAGACACCTCCCTCTCCTGGTTGGTAATGACCTCTGATGGCTAAGGTGCCTTTCAGCTCTGACCATACTGTTGAATACTCAAGCTACAGCTGCCATCAGAAGAATAATCCCCACTGAACAAACCATCTGTTTTCTCCTAACTCTGTTTTATGTAAGGCTTTTGAGATTTTTTCCTCTAAAATTGTATACAAAAGATGAAAAGGGGAAAAAATTCAGCAAATGTTTATTGAGGACCTCCTATGTGCCCTGGTCTGTGCTAGGCTCTGAAAATGTGCAGATAGTTGCCCTGTGTTAAGACTTCTGGTCAGTGAATATTACCATAGAAAAGGAAGTTAGGACACTTAAAAATATAAAGGCTTTGTTTGTATTTGTTGCCTGTAGAATGGGTATCACTATTGATTTTCTTGTGGAGTTAAATCCTTCAAAGTTGTTTAGATTAGTTGCTGGTTTTCATCTGTGGGCAGTTAGTAAAATATGAACCTTGAATCTTTTAACTTAATCTTTTTACATTTGAATGCTATGGTCAACTTAAGTTGGAAACAATTGCTTTTTAAACGCTTGCTTTTTTTTTCCCCTGTAGCTTATGAAAATATTTACTCTTAACTTCTGTTTGGGTGGTCTGTGAGATTCATAGGCAGGCTAGTGTTGGCTGTACTTTTCCAGACAAAGCATTCTCTTGTTTAGTTCCTATATTTCTTAACATTACAAAACACACTTTTTGTTTTTTTAATTTTTAATGTTTCTGAAATTGTGATGCAGCTTACTATTTTGTAATTTTAATGTGGTGGAGTATGTCATCTGTTCTCCTCTCAGCCTCCCAAAAGCTGTTGAAAAGAATGGTTGTCTTACAGTATGGGCAGTGTGAGAATCAGAGAAATAGTATGTTTGCCTAATAACCTCTAAGCTAGGTTCCAATTAACTGAGCCTCAGATCATTTCAAAATGAACACATAGAAACAATAAATGATGTAACTTTTGGCAGTAAAAGTAGTGAAATTCATAGTCTAACAAAAGCATTCGTTATGCACAGTTGGGATTTATTTTGTTACTGATTGTAGATGGGAAATATGCTTCAAGTGATTTTATTTTTGGCTTAAGTATTTTGCACACATTGTTTCACCACACTTCCTGGTGAATATGCTTATACTGTATTCATATACTGTGCTTAAGGAAAACAAGCCTTTTGTTTGCATCTTCCTGCTGCTCCCATCCCTTAAATAAATTTTAAACTGACCAATTGTAAGGGATAAGAAATGTGTAGCTGAACTGAAATTACTTTTCCATTAATAAACACCTTTATTTATGCAAACCTTCTGAGGCAACCTAACAGTTTTTAACAGTTAAATGTGAGCATTGTATCCCGGGTCCCCAGCACCATCCCCAGGGTTAGTGATTTGCTAGGACTCACAGCTGATTTATTACAGCAGATGGAGACCAAGTGCTTCATTGCTGCAGCAGCTAGTTGTGACAACATGTGTGAAATGCTGCCAACCAGGGAAGCTCATTAGACACTCAGTGCCCAGGGTTTTTATTGGGGGCTCATCATGTAGGGCCTTTTGGCTGGCATGTATCAAAATTCCAGACACCCAGAAGGAATGCGGGTGTTCAGTATAACTTGCATTGTTTGTCCAAACAGCTTAGACACAGTGAGTCCCTCTTTTCAGTTAATGGTGGTGGGAACACATCTGAAATCTGAGTTCCCAGACCTGACATCCACCACATGCTGACCTTTCAAAGGATAGCAGGTGGCTCTTTTCTGCACAAGCAATGCTGTCTACTGAATCTGTTTTCGTATCTCTTGTATTTCTACATCACTTCTGGGCTCCAAGTTCTAGCAGTACTTTGTCTCACTGAAGCTGTGATTCTTCAGTTGAGAAAGCACACTGGTCTGTTTAACTTAAAAGGAATAAGAAACATTTTCAGAAAATGTGTCTCATTGATGATATATCCTAAGACATTAAAGGTTTTTTTCCCAAAGTTTAAGAAAAAAGCTTAAGCCCTTACCCCTTCAATGCAAGCTTTTAGTATCAATTTGTATTAGTTTTATACCATGGTCCTGTGTTTCCTGCCAAAAGCACTGGACCTTTTGAAGGAACTGAGCTATTTGTAGGTACAACATTTAGAAGCTAAAATGAGGCCGCTAGAGAGTTTTAAACAGTAGCGCCCCCTTATCCACAGCTGACAACGTCCCAAGACACCCAGTGGATGCCTGAAATCATGGATGGTACTGAAGTCTGTATATTACTGTACTTTTTCCCTATTCACAGATAGCTATAACAAAGTTTAATTTATAAATTAGGCACAGTAAGAGAATATCCGAATTGCCAGCATCGTTACTCTTGAACTTTGGGGCCATCATTATCAAGTAAAATAAGGGTCACTGGAAGACAAGCGTTGTGATACTAGGACAGTCAATCTGATCACCAAGACGGCCACTAAGTGACTAATGGGCTGGGTACACTAGACAGAGGGATTAATTCTAAATTTATTTTCTAGGTTTATTCTGAATTTATCAATTATAAATTTGTAAGTTAGTTGTTGCAATGTGTAACACGTTGTTCGGGTGCCTACTTCCCAGGCCAGACCATTAGTTCTACTCGGTCTATAGTGTAGCTGAAATACAGCTTAGTTATAATGACAAAAGAGCAGAAAACAGTGCGCTTGCAATTCTGATAGCCCAACAAAATAGAAAAGCATAACATTTATAAATAAGTTACTGGTCTCTGGGAAAAATTGGTTTTTATAAGCACAGTGGTTCTTAACCTTTTTTGGGGATGGGGACTCTCAAAAATCTGGTAAAAGCAATGGACCTACCCCCTTTCCCAGAAAAGAAAATTGACTTTAAAATGGCATTTTGCAGTTTCAGGAAATTCATATAATTTAAATTCATACATTCTTGAACTCCAGATGCAGGACACCTGCATTGTAAACGTGACGACAGTTGTGGTTTGAGGCAGTTCTGAGAGACCTTTGGCAATACTCAGGGGAGTCGATTCTCTTGCTACTCAAGTGTGGTCTGTGGCCCAGCAGTAGCGTCACTACCTGTGGGCTTGTTAGACATGCAGAATCTCAAGTCCCGCCTGAGCCCTAGGTGCCCAGGGGATGTGTGTGCACGTGAAGGCTGGAGGGAGGAGAGCTTTGTTAGAAGTTAATGACGTTGCCATTTTGTTATGTCTTATTTTAGTTAAAAAGGTAGAGCTTTTAAAAGCCTTGAGATATAACTATCTTTACCCTTCACTTTCAGCCCCCAGTTAGTTTTCTGCTTTATTTTAATTTTTCTGATAAAGTGGCAGTTTTTAGGAATAAGCTGAGGTTTGGAAGTGAGGCAATTCAGGTGCTTAAGGACCTAGGAGCAGGCAGCTTCTTGCCCCAGCCATCAGGTGGCACCTCTGGCCCAGGTGGCCTCCAGGACAGCAGCTGGCGGTAGTGCTTTGGTGAGGAGCACCTGGCCGTGGGCAGCTCTTGGTGGTTCTTGAGTCAAGTATTTATAACTCAGAGTGCATCTAGTTAGATTTGGGATCTGGTGCTGATTAAAGCCAACTTTAAGATTTCGACTTTGCTGTGTCAATGGCCACAGGCTAAAAACTGTGACTAGGAACTGCTGAGATAGTTGAGTCATTTAATTTGGGATAATTATACCTTCCGATAAGTGATGAATTCCACGACTTAGTGCTGTGTACAAGAAAAACATGCCTTCCTTTCTTTGAATATGTGATCTGCATAGTGTTTGAGGCTGAGTCATATCTCGGAAGAAATGGTGTTGGCTTCAGGCTGTATCTTATTCTGGTAGAAATGGCCTTGGCTTACGAAGAGTTCGCACAAAGGTCTAATAGTCATGCAAGTTGTGTGTATGAGATCCTCTGACACTGGCACTGGGATGCCTAAACACGAGTGTTTTCTTCTTTTTGGCAGGTTTGCGTTTCATCACTGCCTTGTCTTGAAGACAACGATGCCAAAGAAAGTGAAGCCTGCAGGGGATGGGAAGGAAGAGGGGCCTGTTCCCTGTAAGCAGGTGAAGCTGGATGCAGCTGGTGGGCCTTCCCCTTTGAACCTTGACAGTCCCAGTGGCCTCTTTGAAAGTTTAATCTCACCTGTCAAGACAGAGACTTTTTTCAAGGAATTCTGGGAGCAGAAGCCCCTGCTTATCCAGAGAGATGACCCTGTGCTGGCCACATATTACCGGTCCCTGTTCAGGCTCTCAGATCTGAAGAGTCTGTGCAGCCGGGGTATGTACTATGGAAGAGACGTAAATGTCTGCCGGTGTGTCAATGGGAAGAAGAAAGTTTTAAATAAAGATGGCAAAGTGCACTTTCTTCAGCTGAGAAAAGATTTTGATCAGAAAAGGGCAACAATTCAGTTTCACCAACCTCAGAGATTTAAGGTAACAGGTTCTCCCCAGTGCAGAATCCTGTCGTGTATTAAAGTGCTAACATTTGGCCACAGATCAGCTCAGGGGTAAATCTATTTTGCTGATGATTAGGCTGCTGCCAGTTGGAGAAGAGGTAGCACCTGTTTGGTCTTCACATGCATTACAACTTCTGTGACTTTACGTTCCCTTTTGGCTAAACTGTTAGAATCTGCAACAACTCAGGCTGGACGTGGTGAGGTGCAAAAACTAAATTATACTTCAGGTTTATAAAGTTTGTTAAAGTGACGTTACACCTCCAGGAGCGTTTCCATGGGCTGGTTTATGTTTTGACACATGGTAGACATTTCTGTTTGGCTTGTCCCTTCACTGTAACTTAAGGCACGATAGTGTCAAGGTGATCATTTTTTCCTTAAAGTTACCTCCCTCTCCTGCCTACATCTACCTAAGCAGAGGCTTCTGAGCAGCGACCAGACCACATAGGCACCAGAGGCACGTTTAAGAAAGAGACTTCACCCTTATTAACAGTAGCCCGCCTGGCACTGAGGGGCAGGATCCTGGAACTGCTGCTGGGGGGGCATTCGCAGGTGGAGGGTAGGTTGTATTTGCACGTCGGGAAGACTGGCTAACCTTTTATTTATTCTGTGTCAGTGGTTGACATTTGAGAAATAATTTGCCTCCTCTGTGCTCAGTTTCTGTGTCTATAAAATGTAGACTTAGGATGAGCTAATCTGAGATCTTAGAGGCATGAGATCTTTATGTGACAGGTGGCCCAGAGCAGCTGGGGGCCCATTCTGAGTTTTAGGTAACGTTTATCCCCATTCAGAAATGCCCCTCTGTGACCCGTGGCTGAATCAAAGTGTCAGCTTAGGAGGAGGAGAGCAGCGCGCCAAGTCCCACACTGACCGGGTGGCTTCTGGCTGCGTGGTGGCTCCTAGGGCTTTGTCATCAGTTACCAGTGATGCTTCTCACGACTGAACTCGAGTTGCCCTGTTAGATCCATTAGGCCTCCCTCATCGGTTGAATGCCTTTCCCTTTCTTGTCTGCAGGATCCTGAACCTATTTGTACTCTGGATAAAGTACAAGCACTCTTAGACTTTTCAGTACAAGTACTCATTCCAAGGGAGTGAGGCAGTCACGAGCAGTTGAAATGTCCTTGGAATGCCAGCCTTTTGTCCCTAGCACCCAAAAGGAATTTATAAATCACTTGCAGACCAAGTCATGATGTGTATTCGGAAAATATGGACACCGAGGTACTTCCCTCTGAGCTTGTCCTTGACTCTTCACTTAGCTAGAAGTAGCACTTTTTTTAAAAGAGTGGTTTTCAGACACCTAAGAACTATGAATAGAAAAGATCACTGATGTTGATTACATGTAATTTGTTCACAGACCAGCAGAAAGTTACTGTTTGGCATATGTGTGGTGTCCCCTGTGGCTGTCATTTTTGTGCTTTAGAATCATCTTGGGCTCTTCTCTGCTCGGCTGCTTAAGTGCTGCATGTTCCTCTTCCCCAATTTCAAGTGACCAAGACTGTGTTTCCTTTGCCCTGCTGACTCAGCTCTCTAGCCATGTTTATTAAAGCAGGAAGGATGAGCTTTCCCATCTCAACTCAGACCCCGGGCTAGACTAGGATGCATCCTGTTTTGCTTGGGTTTTTCCACCACCAGGACTTGAGAAATCTATTAAGCCTCAGGAGCTCACCCTCTTACACTAGAAGCTGGGTTCCAAGTATTATATTATGACCAGATTTAGTGTTGTGTGTGTGTTTACTAATGGATATGTCGATATCAGGATAGAGAAAGTATAGAGGCAGTTCCTCATTGGCCAGATGGAGAGTCTATCAGAGTGGACAGTCAGCCCTTTCTTTATCAGGTCACACCGTGTGCACAGTTTATATTATTCTAGTTTGTCTGGAAATGAGTAAGGAGGTAACCAGAGAGTGGTGGGTTGTTCCCCATCTGCTTTGGGTAATCTGTGTATGAAGAGTCCAGATGAGTTTACCAGATATTTACGTGTGTTCACTTTTGAACCCTCCAACAGACATTTGAAATAATTGGGGCAATCACTGTGGTCTCCATTTTATGTGGAAAAAATGAGTTCACAGATGTGACTTTTCCATAGCTACTGAGTAAGGACTTCTGATTCCAAAATTAAAGCATTTTCCTAACCATATATCTAAAGATATTAACTGAAATGTAGTAGGGCTTTTGGCATGTTTGCTTTCACCTTTAGGTGTGAGTGTGGGCTTCTGGTCTTAGCTGTTGTGTTCACCTGAGCCTGCAGGTAGGTCAGTGGAGAGAGGAGGAGCCTCCTCTTTCCCTTTCCCTTTCCCATTGTTCTGGGGTCCTCCTTGGCATCTCCAGACATAGTTGGGAGTCATGAGTCAAAGGAGACAGATTTCAGGAGCCTTGTTTGTGCCAAAGTCAGCGCTGGTGAAGCCGTAACAGTTGTATGCTGCTTTGCAATGTAAATAGGCTTTGAGATAAATATGCTGTTTCCCACAGTCTTAGGGTGGGAGTCTTCCTTTGCAAATAAAGAAGCTGACTTCTACCTATAACTTGGTCGGTGGTGATTTGACTCCAGATCCCTTTCTAGTGGGCCACACTGGGCAGATTGAAAAGCTAAAGGTTCTATTTCCGGGAGAGAGAGAAAAATTGTACAAATGATGGGGTTTTCAGTAACTTTTTTTTTTTAATTAATTAATTTTATTTTATTTTTGGCTGCATTGGGTCTCTTGCTGCGCGCGGGCTTTCTTTAGTTGCGGCGAGCAGGGACTACTCTTCGTTGTGGTGCGCACGCTTCTCATTGCGGTGGCTTCTCTTACTGTGGAGCACGGGCTCTAGGCGCACGGACTTCAGTAGTTGTGGCTCGCGGGCTCTAGAGCCCAGGCTCAGTATTTGTGGTGCACGGGCTTTGTTGCTCCGCGGCATGTGGGTCTTCCCGGACCAGGACTCAAACCTGTGTCCCCTGTGTTGGCAGGCGGATTCTTAACCACTGCGCCATGAGGGAAGCCCTTCAGTAACTTTTAAGAAGAAAAGAGACATGTACTCCTTAATTACAGACCCGGAAGCTTGAGTTGGGGGCCATAAAGTCACCCATATGGTCCTGAGACACCTCTCAGGCCATCAGAGACAGAGAGAAAGAGCGAGAGAAGAGCTGGTTCCAGTTACTGTATAAATGTAATTACAGGGCCAAGTCCTGCTGGCCCCTCCCAGGTATAAATTAGGCAGCTTGGGAGATCTCTTAACTCTCTGGAGCTATTCAGATGCCATAAAATCATTCTTTCTGTGTTGCCTGAGATGTGTAAGTAGAGAAGCTCAGTGGTCTATAATGAAGATGTCTCCCAAAGCTTTTTTCATGCTGACCCAATTCTTTCCCACTTGGCATTTTTAATACTGTAGCTTTTTTTTGTTTTTTGTTTTTGTTTTTTTCATTCCAGTGGTAGGATTGACTCCCAAGCTGTGGTCACTGGTTTATCCAGCAAATACTTCTGATGTTTCAGTGTCTTGTGTGTGGCAGGCACTGTACATGCATGTGCTTGAAGGGGCTCTTCAGTGTTCTTTGTAGGTGACTTCTTTAAGGCAGTTCCTTAGAGGGGCAATATAGAGTCATGGTTAAAGGTATGGGCTCCGGAGCCAGGCTGCATGGATTTGAATCCTGGCTCCATCATTCATTGGCTGTGTGTTCTCGTGCCCGTTTCCTCATCAGCAAACTGAAGATATTGATAGGACCCACCCTATGAGACAGGGTGGCGGGAGGGTTGTACAACTGAAGTAGGTAAAGCACTTGGACACAGTGCCTGGCACATAGGAAGTGCCGATACCTACGTGGCCTAACTGCTGCCTCTCCTCTCTCACCTGCCTTGGGACAGTCAGGTTTCTTCCTTGCAGGGATGTGTGGCTCCTCTCTAGGCCCCTCAGTTCGACTTAGGCCCTGAAGAGCTGATTAGCGACTGGAGAAAGGGAGCATTCCTTGACCCTGTTTACCCCTTCGCTGTCTGTACCCCCTTCCTAGGTAATCATTTCTGCTCCCATTGCTCTAAGTACCCTTTTGTGCAGGCAGTTCCCAGATGTAACCCCTAGCTCTTCGTCTTGCCAGAACTTCAGACTTAGCCAGCCAGCACACGGGGGTCTTAGCAGCTCACACTTAACAGTTCTAATGTACGGCTTTTCTTTTCTCCCCCCGAAAGCTTGTTCTTTAGCAAATCTTTCCCATTTCAGTGGAACTGGGAGCTGACTAACTGCCTCAGTCAAAAACCCAAGAATGTTTCTCTGATTTATTCTCCCCACTCCCATACCCCAGCCATCAGCATGTCCTGTCAGTGCTGCTTTCTGAGCGCATCTCGACTTTTCTACTTCTCTCTCCCTCGCCCACCACCCTGGTCACTCCCAGCCTACGCTGCTGCCTTCGTAGCTTCCCCATGGCTCTCTCTTGCTTTTCTACAATCAATTCCCCACACCGCAGCCTGAGTGAGCTTTTATAAATGTGCATTGGATCCTGTCCTTGTCCTGCTTAAGATACTATGACTCCCTGTTGCCTGCCTCTCCAGTCTCGTCTGCTGCTGCCTCTTCTCTGCACTGTTCTGCATGAGGACGGGAGGGTCCTGAGGACAGAGGTGCTGGCATGGGCACCGTTGAATTCCAGGTGTCTGGAACATAATAGCGGTGCGATAAAGACTTGCTGAGCGCATAAGAACTTATTCCTTGTTTCTAATGTGTTTTTCACCTCTTTCCCCTCCACCTTTTTTTTTTTTTTTTTTTAAAGGATGAGCTTTGGAGGATCCAGGAGAAGCTGGAGTGCTACTTTGGCTCGTTGGTTGGCTCGAATGTGTACATAACCCCTGCGGGTTCTCAGGGCCTGCCGCCCCATTATGATGACGTAGAGGTGAGGCGGGGAGGAAACTGCTCAGCTCCGGGAGGACGAGTTGCTGCCAGCCCGGGTTAGTGGGTTGTCAGGGTTCAGTTCAGCTCTCGGGCCGGGTCTCTGCCAACTCTTCCTGTGCGGGCTCTGCAGAGCTTGACCTCCGTCACTGGGATGTTGGGCCAAAATTAATCCCATCAAACTGGTTTCCTGCTCCTTCAGAAAGGGGAGATTGTTTATTTACTAATATAAAGAGCCACACATTCCTCCGAAATAGGTGTTTTTTGAATTTTCTGCAGAAAAGTGTGATTGGCTTTTTCTTTAATTTTATAATATATGGTCTTTAATAAGGTGAGGTCTTAAGTAATTCTTACATCTGCTTTCTTTTGTCCTTTTTCTGTAGCTACCAAAAGTATATATTTTTTCCATTTGTGAAGATCTTGGGGCAGCTTGAATGAAGGTCATGGTTTCACTTAAGCACTGGCACCTTGACAAGTGTTGATTACATTCTCATGTGGCTGCCAAAAAGAGTTAACTCTTTGGCTTAGGTATTTCATAGTTTTATTTTTGTACCAAGACAATGTGTGAACACAGAATTATTAGTAAAAAACCCCTTTTTTCCCCCTCCTTTGAGAGCAATTTGATATCAATACAGTTTCCAAAAAAATTTTTTAAAAAATATTTCTAATAGGTCTTCCCCGGTGGCACAGTTGTTAAGAATCCACCTGCCAATGTAGGGGACAAGGGTTTGAGCCCTCGTCTGGGAAGATCCCACATGCCGCGGAGCAGCTAAGCCCGCGAGCCACAACTACTGAACCCCACACACCTAGTGCCTGTGCTCCGCAACAAGAGAAGCCACTGCAATAAGCCTGCGCACCACAATGAAGAGTGGCCCCAGCTCGCTGCAACTAGAGAAAGCTCGCGTGCAGCAGTGAAGACCCAACGCAGCCAAAAATAAATAAATTAAATAAATTAATTAAAAAATATATATTTCTAACAGAACTTTAAAATATCTTTGGTTGAATGAAGGATAAAAAAACTTGACATTTTCCTGTGTGTGCCAAGGATAGTATTCAGGATTTTAGACACTCAGTAATATCTGAAGCTTGGCTTTTCCGTCAGAGATTATGGGCATTCAGCTGTCTGATGGAAGATTTAAAAGAATGAGATAGTGGGATAGATATTGGGATATAAAGAACTTAGCTTGGCTTTCATGAAAGTGAAAAGAATGACTAGCCCTCCAGTGTCAGACTTCACGATTACCTGTTTTTAAAAGTGAATACCAGTAGTGGCAACTTTAAGTGTATAGTGAAATGTATCTGTGATCTTTTATTATTTTTTTTATCTGAAATTTGTGATTCATCTAAGCCCTGAGAGGGCTAACACTCTAGAAGCACTTTGCCTCATGAGTTGTCTGGAGGCTCTCTGACACTCCGGGATCCTGTGCTTTCTGTAGGTTTTCATCCTGCAGCTGGAGGGAGAGAAACACTGGCGCCTGTACCACCCGACGGTGCCCTTGGCGCGGGAGTACAGCTTGGAGGCTGAGGACAGGATCGGGAGGCCAGCACACGAGTTCACATTGAAGGTACGGGCCTGCTTTTGTGGGTGCCTCTCCTGAGACAGGTTTGGTTTGAGGTTTGTGTAATGATGCCCGGCAAATGTACCCAAGAGGCTGGGGGCAAGTGGCTCTCATTCCAGCTAGCCAGCACGGGGGGGGGCTTCTTAAAGGACATTTGGTTGTTTGTAGCTGCGGAAGTGAGCTGAGGAAATGTTAAGTTCATTTTCCAAATCACCTGTCTCCAAATATAATCCAAGTGCAACAGGAATGAATTATGAATTCAGTAACCACTGACTTCTCTAGAGCAAAAGTGGAAGGCATGGCCAGTGGTCACCGCTGGGTCGTAGGCTGCTTGAGCAGAGCATGGCCAGGGACCCAGTAGTTTTTTTTGTTGGTAAAATTCCAGTCTGACCCCTTTTCCTCCTGATTGTGCAGTAGACTCTCTGCGCTCCCTTCCCCCTGCATATAGTACCCAGAAGAATAGTCATCACGAAAGTCCTTGAGGAGGCCTTCCCCAGGAAGCCAGGTGGCTCGAGCACGTGCTGGTTCGCTGGCATCTTGCTGCTGAGAAAGTGTGTCTTTGAGCAGTTAGCTGGATGGAATCAGCCAATCCCCAGCAGCTGGGGTTGTTGAGGAAGAAATCTTGGATAAGAATAGCTGCATAATTCAATTTTATACCTTTTCCTACAAAACTTAAGATTTAATTTCCTTCAGTGGTAATAAGAAAATAGGTAATTTAAACCATACCGAAGATTCTAACCAAACTGATAGACTTGCGTATGGTTATTGTTTTTGTATTTCTTGTGTCTTGAAGTTATACTTAGTATCTAATTCCTACTCAGGGCCTCATAGCTCTTTCTTGATTTTAAGATCTTTGCCTGCCTGCCATAACTGGGAGAAACAATCTCCCTTTTTAGGATGGGTGCCTGTGTTATAGGGGACTTGAATAAATACAACAATAAAGGTACCTTTCTTATTTTTTTTTATGCTCTTGGTCAGCAATCAGCAAACTATGGCCCATAGGCCAAAAATCTGGCCTGCTGCCCGTTTTTGTATATAAAGTTGATGGAAACACAGCCACACTCATTCCTTACGTACTGTCTAGGGCAGAGTCAGCTATTTGCCACAGGGACCATGTGGCTCACAAACTACAGATATTTACTGTCCGGCCCTTTACAGAGAGAGTTTGCCAACCCTGCTCTTGGCTGATTATTTTTAAGCCAAAGACTAAGCTGTCCATGGTCTCTGAGGCCAGGGCTGAGTTACCCAGGCTGACATCTGGCTACTTGCCCTGCTCGAGAAGGTCAGGCTTCATGGTGGTCACAGAGGGATGGGACTTCCTGAGTCTCCAGGAAGGAGAAAGACAGCGTTGTGTCCTGCGGGGATTTTCAAGTTGTATGTCTATTGAGTTTTTAATCAGTGGAATTCTTCAAATGAAATCATGCATAAATGCCCAGTGTATGAAATCGAAGATCTGAGTCACTCTGGGTGGGGGTGGGCTTGGGGGCTATGATGAGCGGTCTGGAGCCCTCCTCACCCCTCTTCCTTCCTACCCAAGTGGCAGCCTGACTTGTACGTCTGCCAAACCTGAGGTCTTGGGGTGAAGACCACCCCTATAATGGAAAGACACCTCTGTGGCTTGGGGATCTGACAAACCTGAATTGAATTCAGCTGCTGTCACTTATGAGCTGCATGTTCTTGGGCAAGTTATTGATCTCTGTCTCAGTTTCTTCTTTATTAAAATGGAGATCATAATGTTTATCTTGTAGATTGTAAAGATTTAAAAATATTACTTTGATGCTGCCTTTACAGTGAAATTCCATGGAAGTGATGGCTATATGTCAATGTATTGCTGCCTATCAAATTAGCACAAACTGTGGCTTGAAACAACACAAATTTATTATCTTGTAGTTCTGCAGTTCAGAGGTCCAAAAGGGGTTTCACTTGGCTGAAATCAAGGTGTCAGCAGGACTGTGTTCGTTCCGGAGGCTCTAGGGGAAAATTTGTGTCCTTGCCTTTTCCAGCTTCTGGAGGCTGCTCACATCCCTTGGCTCATGTCCCCTCCCTCCGACATCAAAGCCAGCAACATGGAGCTTGGTCTTTCTCATGCTGCCCTCTCTCTGGTTCTCTCTTCCAATACCCTCTTCCACATCTTTTTTTTTTTTTTTTTTTTTTTTTTGGGTATGCGGGCCTCTCACGGTCATGGCCTCTCCCGGTGCGGAGCACAGGCTCCAGATGCGCAGGCTCAGCGGCCATGGCTCACGGGCCCAGCCGCTCCGTGGCATGTGGGATCTTCCTGGACCGGGGCACGAACCCGTGTCCCCTGCATCGGCAGGCGGACTCTCAACCGCTGTGCCACCAGGGAAGCCCTACCCTCTTCCACTTTTAAGGATCCTTGTGATTACATTGGGCCTGCCTGGATAATCCAGAATAATCCCCCTGTCAGCAGCCTTAATTCCCCTTGTCGGTGTAACCTAAGTATTCACAGATGCCAGGTATTAGGATGTAGACATTTTTGAAGACCCTGCCATAATGGCCTGTCTTCATTTCCTCTACTCTCCCACTGTTGGGCACCCTTTCTAGCAGGGTTTCTTCCCCATTGTTCCTCTAGAAATATTCTCAAGGGTACCTCCACGTTGTCAAGTACAGCGGTCAACTCCTAGTCCCCTCTTAGTCTGCCTGTCGTCAGCATTTGACACAGTGGGTCACTTCCACCCTGTCCACTGGCTTCCGGGATGCAACCTTCTCTTGGTTCTCTCTCCACCTTCCTGATTGTCCTGTTCATTCTCCTTCGCTGTTTTGTCCTCAGTCTTCCTACTTCTCTAATTTGGGGTACAGGGCTCATTTCCTGGACTTCTTTGATCAATCAGCATCCCCTCCCAAGGTTTCAGATACCCTCTACACTGATGTATTTTAAATGCTGTTTTAGATCTCTAGCCCACATCTCTAAACTCTAGACTCATAATCCAGCTGCCCATTTAATGTCTTCCCTGGAAATGTAAAAGATACCGCAAATTTAATATTCCCCAAACCAAAATCCCGTGTCCTACCCTGTCCCCAACCTCCTCCTCCCTGCAAATGTGTCACCCTTCTTCTGCTTGTTTGGGGCAAAATCCTTGGACATAGATTTATACAGAAGCCTCCTACCTAGTGTCCCCTTTGCAGACTTTTCTGACATAACCATGGTGATCCTTTTGTGATCCCTGAACCCTTTGCCCAGACCTCTACTGTCTTTCTGTTAAACCCAGAATAAAAGCCAAAGTCCTTTTTTTAAAAAAATAATCAATGCTTTATTACTTAAATGGAAAATTGATAGCACAGTAAGTTTTAATGATCTAATTAATGGAAAATTATAATAAAATTTCTTTAAAATTTTTTTCAACATCCTAGTGTACCACATTCATTACCATTGTGTATATTTTCAAAGGCATTAATATCAATGGAATAATTAAAGACAATGAAAATGGAACTCATTTATACCCAATTCTCCTTTTCTCAAGGCTTTATGCTGCTGGTTTATGTAGCCTTTGGATTGAAGCCAGAAATATTTTTTTCCTTGGTTAAAAAAATTAGCTTTTCTAGTTCTTTCAGAATAAACAGAAACAGGACAGTGGTATGTCAAATGGCTAATTGTCTTATCATTATAAAAAAGCCGAAGTCCTTAAAATGGCCTAGAAGGCCCTGTAACCTGGCCCCTCTGCTGCCTGCTCACTGCATCTCCCGTCATTCCCACCTTCACTCACTACCTTCCTGACACACTGGCCTAACCGATGCCCCTCAACCTGCCAGGCACGTTCCAGCCTCAGGACCTTTGCACTTGCTCTTCCCTCCGCCTGGAATCCTTTCTCCCCAGGTCGTTGCATGGCTGGCTTGCTCGTTTCCTGAAGTCTCTACTGAAATGTCACCTTAGCAGAGTGAGGTTTAATGGACCATCCTGGGTAAAATAGCACCTCTAATCCCAGACACACCCCGCCACCCCCCACTTCCATCAACATCATTCCCCTCCTCCTCCTTCTGCTTATTTTGTCTTCTTTGCATTTGCCATCATTTGACATTATTTATTTGCTGCTTTATTTTATCCTTCTTGCCCCACTAGAATGTTTTCATTGTCTAGTGTACCTTCTCCCTTCTCAAATGTTTTTCTCTTCTGGAATGTGCTGCATCAGGGCAGGTCTTTGTTTTGTTCAGTGCTCTCTCCCCCGGTGCCTAGCACAGGTCCCTGGCATGGGTGGTGGGCAGGGAAGGGTTAATCAGGTGTTTGTGGGATGGATAAATGAATGGATGGATGAAATATGTACGTGAGGGCCTCAGTCACAGGGCTGGCACACAGACTCTCACAGACGATACGTGTAATTATGAGTAATGCATTTGTTTACTTGAAGTACTGGTTTCCCTGTCAGATTGGTGTTATCCAGGGCAGGGTAGCTCTTATGAGTACATGTATAATTACTTACGTATGTACTTAACATTAAAAAAAGAAGTGTTTTTAATCTGATATTTCTTGAGCTCTTTCTCCAGGGCCCATGCTCTTAACCAGTGAGACAGAAGGCTTCACAGGGCTGCAGAGAGCAGATAAGCGACTCTCAAGATTCCCTGTCCTCTGCTCAGGCAACTGCTATATACAGAATGTTCTTTTTCTGGTTGGGATTAGGGAGGAGGAAGCTCCAGGGCAGTAGTGATTTGGGGAAAATATTTCTGTTCCGTGGCTTGGGAAAGAAATAGGACAGGGTGGAGGAGGCTCACCTGCCCAAGAAGTGACTGATCTTTAGTTACATATAGAGTTCAGGTTCAAATGAAGGGTCACAGGGTTTTTCATCCATTCTTCCAGACATCTTTTGAGCCTCTGGATGCTTAGGTGGTTTAGGCCCTAGGGATACAAGATGGATATGGACCCTGCTTGGAAGAGTTCACAGACTGTCAGGGACTGGCAGGTAAAATAAGAATTATAATACAGCCACAGCCACTTGCCCAGCATTGCTCCAAGAGCTTTTTGTTTTTGGCCGTGCCGCGCGTGCGTCATGTGGGATCTTAATTCCCCGACCAGGGATCAAACCCACGGCCCCTGCATTGGAAGTGCAGAGTCTTAACCACTGGACCGCCAGGGAAGGCAGCTCCAAGAACTTTTTTCCTTTAATCCTCAAAATAATTCTGTGAGATCTGGGGCGATTGCTTCCATTTTACACATAAAGGAACTGAGGCCTCGGGAGGTTAAGTAATTTGCTGGGGCCAACAGCCAGTGAGTGTAGCCTCTGTATGGCTCTAAAGCTCCTATCCTCACTGCCCCCTTTGATGGGTGTGGAGGGCGGGAGCAGGCTTCCCAGGCACAGGCTGTCACCTTGATCCCAGGGTGGCCTCAGGTGTATCTGGTCTCAGCTTATGAATAAAGAAAGTGACTTCAGGCTCTGGAAGCCTCTCCAGGATTGGGGTTCATGGTGACAGGTTCACAGACACAGCAGAGCTAGACAGGTGGATACCACAGAGAAAGGCATGCAGACCACTGCTCGAATCACCACATAGAGGTTTCTAGAATGCAGAACTGAAACTCACAGCCTTTGTAGAAGAACGAGAAGATATCCTCCCTACTAACTCCTTCCCCCTTTTTTTTCCCTTTAGCCAGGAGACTTGCTGTACTTTCCCAGAGGGACCGTTCATCAGGCGGACACTCCCTCAGGGCTGGCCCACTCCACGCACGTGACCATCAGCACCTACCAGAGCAGGTGAGCACTCACCTGCAGCCTCGCGTCCCCGACAGCTCTGAGCTGTGGCCACAGCAGCGTGTTCAGGAGACGTGAGGGAGTTAGCTGCTTCTCTCCTACTTACCCAGCCCCGGGGTTTCCGGCTGACTTCCTGTTCCTTCAGCGTCCTACCTGTGCCACTGACCCACTCGTCTGGGCTTCCTCCTGGCCTATCATGACCCTGACTCCACAGAACGCTGGGAGTTGCCCAAATAAAGGCTCCCATGGTTTGGGAAGATAGAAGCATAGCTGTGGGTGTGGCAGTGTGTTCGTGTTGCCAGGCTGGGCTTGTAGTCTTCTCCCACAC